TGGATTCCATACACTGCATGTATGATAGCCAAAAAGCCTGAAACAGCTGCTTGCACTTTGGAATAAATGGCTGTATCATATTAGGCGACATCTGCACTAAGCACCAGCAGTACTGAATGTGTACTTGGCCATTGGAACATACAGAGATGAAATAGGGAATACTCCTCCTATTTTGGGAATATTTGATAAATTGAGACATATAAATGCCTTCGCTGCGGTATGGCTTTTTCTAGAAAAGGCTCTTTGTTGCCCTCTGCTGCTGGAAGGTGTTTCTGTTTGTGTTATCCTAGCCTATACTTGTAATATAACTCCTTGCCCTCCAGAGGATTTCCCCCCTTCCTGACCAGGCCATTTGTTTGCATTACTGCACTGCGTTTAACTGACAACTGTACGGTTATGCAACGCTGCACCCAAATGAAATTCATGTCCTTTTTTTCCCCACAAATAAAGCTTTCTTTCTGTGGTATTTGATTGCCTGTGCGTTTTTATTGTTTGTGCAATAAACAAAAAAAGACCAACAATTTTGAGAAAAAACAATATTTTTGACTTTTTGCTACTAAATATGTCCAATAAAAAAATCAAATTTTCTCAAAATTTAGGCTAAAATGTATTCTGCTACATGTCTTTGCTAATAAAAATCCCAATATGTGTAAATTAATCGGTTTACGTGCAAGTTATAGCATCCCAAGTGACACCAATACAGTGATCATGCTATTAAAACACACTGACACTGTACTGATGGCATTGGTCAGGAAGGGGTTACCATGTGGGGCGATCAAAGAGTTTACTGTGTGCTGTTTCAACTGTAAGCACACTGCTTTGTATGGCTTTGCTATGCTCTGCTTTGTGCAGGAGCTGACAGGGATGAGAACTGTATTGTTTACATACAGTTCTCTCCCCCGTTGGTAATACTCAGCGACAGGGGCGGACTAACAACTCATGGGGCCCCCAGGCAATAGGAGATCATGGGGAGCCTGTGTCCTTGCCCAAACTCAAAAAAGCCTATGAAAAAGGTACCAGGGGCATCTCATGGGGCCCCCTACTGATCACGGGCCCTCAGGCAGTGCCCAAGTTTCCAAATGGTCAGTCCGCCCTTGCTCAGCGATCACTGGGTGCCGGTGAATAATCACCAGCCAGGACCCGGTGATTGACAGCCGAGGCCGCGAATGGCAACACGGGTAGAATGCGCCCCCTACCCGGAACTGCAAAATCACGTATATATATGTGATTTTGTGCACCTGTGCTGTCCTGTAGCAGTATTTCTGCTATAGGGTGGGCGTGAAGTGTTTAAAGTGGTAGCAAACTGCCAAAAAATATTTGCAAAAAAATGACCCCTGCAATATAATTGCCTGAAAGACTTACCTTAGAATGAAGTCCTCCAGCGGAGCGCTGTCACCACTGACAGGGCTTCCATCTTCACGCGATCTTCCTTCCGGAATTTGCGGGCTTTGGCTGTTTGACTGGCTGAGTCACAATGATGTCACTCCCATGCATGCACGCAGGAGTCAATGGACAGCACGCCATCACTGGCTGCTCCTATAGTAAATATCTCCTAAATGGTGCACGTTTAGGAGATATTTACTGTACCTCTAAAATAAGGCTTACCTGTAGGTACAAGTAAACAAGGTATTTTTACTACCATTTTAAAGTTGTTTAAAACCTCTGAAATATCGACAAAGCACATCTTTCTATACTGTGTACCTGTCTCAATTAAGAACACTAAGTATCATTTCTGTCTACTGCCTCATTCCTCTGCTATCCCCATGAATCACTTCTGATACATTTTTCTGACACCAAGAGAAAAATGGTGACAAGGGAAGGACTTCCAGCAGGTTGACAGCCTCAGCTCTGTTCCTGTGAGCTGTGTGGAGGGGGGGGGGGGGGGGGGTGTTTCAACCCTCCAATCAGCTCTCAGAGCTCTTCTCACTGAGCACTGCAGAGGGTAATTGAAAGTGGTTTTAAAGCCTTAAGGTTTTTTACCTTAATGCGTTAAGGTAAAAAACCTTCTGCTGCAGAGCATCCCCCCCCATATACTTACCTGAGTCCGATCTGCGTGCAGTGTTATGCATGAGAGCTGCTCCTGGCTCTGTCCCTCCTCATTGGGCAAATTGATAGCAGCCGGAGCCATTGGCTCCCTCTCCTGTCAATCAAATCCAGTGACAAGGGAGCGGGGGGCAGGGCCAAGCCCCACGGTCTTTGTCAATAGACGCAGACAGAGCAGCTTGGGAGCAAGCCCGAACGAGTGCCCCCATAGAAAGTGGGTTTCTATGGGAGCACTGGGCATGGGAGGGAGGAGCCAAGGAGAAGAGGGGGATCAGGTTTGCTCTGTGCAAAAGCATTGCACAGAGCAGGTAAGTATGATATGTTTATTATTTTAATTTAAAAAAAAAAAACTGAAGCTTTAATACCACTTTCAGCTCTCCCCTTTATTCTGAACTCTCAGACAAGCTTCATAAATTTGGCACTTTGAATGGCTGAAGAGAAGACTGCAGATAAACAGGTACAACTTAGGTAGGAAGATTTGTTTAATCTCTGTGTATCACCTGAGGCCAGCCACTTCAGTTGTAAAAGATATTCAGATTATATACAAAGAATCTATGAACAATTGAAATGCTAATACATGAGTTAGCTATTGTAGCCCTTGCTGCGTAAATAAAGGTGGCTACCAATTTATTCCCTTGCAGTTTGTTGCCACTATCTGCTGAGTGGCATTCTGTAATTAGACAAAGAGAGATCATGACACTCAGACCTCCTGCCCAATCCAGATGCCTTTTAGTCTTTGAAATGAATACAGATCATTTTCTGAATGGAAGAGCTGGGCAACACATGATACAGTGTGGTCACTGTGCTCCAGCCTTGACTGTCAGCTTCACCTCTGAAGCGTGCACGTTAGAAGATGTATGTAAGTAACATTTTTCAGGAAAGAAGTAGCAGCCACCAGTGGGGCACACGTCTTTAGTGGTACTGTACCATGTTGGCACATAGCTAAAATCCCAGACTTCAGCTTTAAAGCTTAACTCTGGGAAACCTGAAAAACACTTAGGCTAGGGCAGGGGTCACCAAACTATGGCCCGCAGGCCACATTCGGCCATCTACAAGGTTTTATCTGGCCCACAGCAAGGAGCAAGGGTTTGTGACCTATCCTCAATGTGCACTGATTGAGGATTAAGGTCGGCACAGACTGTCTATGATCTCGTCTTCTGATATACGGGGTACTCTGATTAGGACTTCAGTGTGAGGGAGGACTCTGATAGCTAAGACTCTGATTTAAGGGGTCTGATCTGGATCTTGTGGCCTGCAGATATTTGTTAAACATAAGATGTGGCTCTCATACTGAACGGTTTAGAGACTCCTAGTCTAGGGGATGGGAAAAGCAATTTTACTTACCCGATCCTCTGCTTCCTCAGTAGAGGGCACTCCACCATTCTCCAGTGGTAGACTGTCCCTTGACATGCTCACATCCATACAGGGCTATGGACCCTTTAATGGTCTTGATGATATCTGTACCTTATAAGCATAGGGGAGAAGATGCTGCGGGGACCAGTCTAGCATCATGGAGGAGCCTGTAGGAGCATAGAATTGGGTAAGTACATTTGCTTTTCCATTTCAGGTTTCCAGATCTGCAGCTTTAACTTGGTGACAGGGTCTCTTCAAAAGTTAAGAAGCAAATTTATTTTCCTTTCCCAATATAGGGGAAAAAATAGGAATATAGAAAAAGGGACTTTGAATTTGCCATAGTAAACTGGATATACCACAAATTGATATAGTATAAAATTACACAAAACTTTATTACAAAAAATAATACACAAAATTGTTTAAAACCATAGTATACGGATCAGCATGCAGTATATCATCGGACAGATTAGATGATGATTTATACATATGATGTACGAATCTATCTGTGCCGATGATGAGTGGAAAAAGGTGTACAGGATCGACGCATTTCACTAACATTGCTTCATCAGAATCCACGCAAAAGGACATTCACATACTGTACAGAATAAAATATACTTATATTTTTCGCTCCATAAGACGCACCTGACAATACGACGCACCTAGGTTTTAGAGGAGAAAAACAAGAAAAAAAATATTCTGAACCAATGGACTGCAGACACAGTACAGGAGATGACCAGAGACTGCGGACACAGTACAGGAGATGACCAGAGACTGCGAACACAGTACAGGGGATGACCAGAGACTGCGGACATAGTACAGGGGATGACCAGAGACTGCAGTCATACTACAGGAGATGACCAGAGACTGCGGACATAGTACAGGAGATGACCAGAGACTGCAGTCATACTACAGGAGATGACCAGAGACTGCGGACATAGTACAGGAGATGACCAGAGACTGCGGACAGTACAGGGGATGACCAGAGACTGCGGACACAGTACAGGGGATGACCAGAGACTGGGGACATAGTACAGGAGATGACCAGAGACTGCAGACATAGCACAGGAGATGACCAGAGACTGCGGACACAGTACAGGAGATGACCGGAGACTGCGGACAGTACAGGGGATGACCGGAGACTGTGGACACAGTACAGGAGATGACCAGAGACTGCGGACATAGTACAGGAGATGGACCAGAGACTGCGGACGCAGTACAGGAGATGACCAGAGACTGCAGACACAGTACAGGAGATGACCAGAGACTGCAGACACAGTACAGGAGATGACTAGAGACTGCGGACATAGGACAAGAGATGACCAGAGACTGCGGACACAGTACAGGGGATGGCCAGAGACTAAGGACACAGTACAAGAGATGGACCAGAGACTGCAGACACAGTACAGGAGATGGACCAGAGACTGCGGACACAGTACAGGAGATGACCAGAGACTGCCGACACGGTACAGGGGATGACCAGAGACTGTGGACACAGTACAGAAGACCAGAGACTGCAGACAGTGCAGGGGATGACCAGAGACTGCAGACAGTAAAGGAGATTACCAGAGACTGCGGACCTTTGGGGAGGGAGGGGGAACGGATACCTGAATTTGACAGGTACCCGCTTCCACTTCCGCGGAGTTGTCCTTCCTTCTTCCCGCGGCGGCTTCTATGACAGCCGGGTTGTTCTTTCCATATATATATATATGATCCCATTATGATGTCAGATTGTTCATGGGCCTGATATGATCGTTTTTGGTTTAGCGCTACATAATTTCTAGTTATATATGACAGCCGGGTGCCCACTGTGCATGCACTTTGTGAATGGCCCGGAGCCTTCTGGGACCTGTCATGTGTCCCAGAAGACACCGGACCATTCACAAAGCGCAGCGCTTCTCGCCATGCGCAGTGGGCACCCGGCAGTCACAGAAGCCGCCGCGGGAAGACTGCAGCGCTGGAGCGAGGAACAGGTAAGGTCCTGCAGGAGAGAAGAGGTAAGCGGCCGGCCCAGTATTCTGACATGGTGGCGGCAGAAATACCGGACTGGCCGCTTTACATTCGCTCCATAAGATGCACTGACATTTCCCCCTTTTTGGGTAATTTTCCCCCCTTTTTTGGATCATGGATTTTCCCCCCCCTTTTTTGTGTCTTATGGAGCAAAAAATACGGTAATTAAATACACAATGTAACTAACATTACAAAATAACATACAGAATCCAAAAGATACCACACATGTATCAAGGGGAACAACAGAGAGATAAAGATAATGAAACATTTTTATTTTCTTATCTTTATCTCTCCATTGTTCCCATTGATAAACGACTGTTATATATATTGTATTTTGTAATGTTAGTTACATTGTGTATTTAATTGTATTTTAATCTGTACAGTGTGTGAATATAATTTTCCATTTAGAGCATATTTTACTCTGTTGGCATATACATTTTGCGATAACGTGCTTAGCGCCAACATTTACGTATCAAAAATGTGTAACCACAGGTGCCTGATGTTCAGATGTCGCCCTGAATGGCTGCTTATGTCTTAGCAATCTAGAAGGCAGGAAACGCCTGTTTCCAGCAGCCAATCAATCCCTGACACATTCAGTAAAGAATAGGTTCAAATATAAATTACTGTATCACCCAATATATGGCTTCCATCCAGTAGCCAAAAAATATGCAGACCAACAAAGAAATTTGTGAAAAGAGATTCACAAGAAAGCGGCTACATTATGGACAGAATGCGATACTCAGAAAAATTTCCAAAAATTATGCTTTATTACACATTAATAATTGACAATCGGGCAATCGCCCTGGTTTACAATCACCTCAGTATGAGACACAACACACAGACCTAAAACCATTTAAAATCACACCAAGACCGGTCTGGATATATATGTGTGCTGCAAAGGCTGTGACAACCATAGTCTAGACCACCGTAGAAATGGAAGTGAATCAATAAGCCCACTACCTTAGGCCCCTTTCACATGCAGCGGACCCGTCAGCGGATCAGCTTGCTCAGTAGGGGATCTGTCTGCTGAGCAAGTGGATGACAGGTCCAGAGCGGACACGGACACGGCCCACTGTCCTCTATGTGCGGTCGGATGGAAATGGACAGGGGGTTTGTTTCCATCTGACTGCCAATCTGATCCGATGAACGGAAGCGGAACAGATCCCCCATCTGTCTCTTATTGGCGAATCGTATCGAATTGAATGTTGGCGGGTGTAAACGAACACATGTCCGTTTACACCCACTGCTTCATAAAGTAGAATGGAGGCTCCAAGTGGGTACACCTGAAAAATGGGCAGGTGGACACGATCAGAACGTCTGTGTGAAAGAGGCCTTATGCAGGCCATAGACGGTTCGTTTATCAGATGATTTTTTCATCCGAAAAACGAAACATCGGTCGTTCTGTTGCCACCAATGATTGCGAAAATCGGCTGTTTTTCACAAATTTTCCAGCATGACCCATAAAAGAAATGAGGAGGAACCGCAAAAATTGGCCGATGCCATTGCCCCACTAACAGTGCGAAAATCGGCCGATTATTCTTTCGGACGAAAAATCAGCCGATAAACGAACCATCTATGGCCTGCATTACAGGTATGCATTTCACTGCTTTGGCTTTTTGGAAGAGGAGCAGCAGTGATCCTAAAATCAACTCTTTGGATGATTTTACCCCCTTCATGACCAGGGCATTTTTAGCTATTGGACACTGTACTAATTTAACTGGAAATTGTGCAGTCATGCAATGTTGTACTCAAACAAAATTTGTATAATTTTTTTCACACAAATAGAGCTTTCTTTTGGTGGTGTTTGATCACCACTGGGTTTTTTTTATTTTTTATTATATAAAAAAAAAAAGACTGAAGTTTTTGAAAACTCCCAATATATTTTTTTGATTTCTCTTATAAAACACAACCAATAACAACATTTTAAAAAAATCTAATTTCTTCATAAATTTAGGCCAAAGTGTGTTCTCCTAAATGTCTATGGTATATATACTGGAATTTTTTCTATACCAGTAATGGCAGCGACTCATAATGGGACTGTGATAGTGCAGCGGGCAATCTCACACTAACTGACACTGGGAAGGAACTGACTAACACTGACATCACCAGTGACACTAATGCAGTGATACTATACACTGTCACTGTACTAATGACATTGGCTGGGAAGGGTCAATCAAAGGGTTAACTGTGTGCCTAACAATGTGAAATGTGTGCAATATGTGCTTCTTTTTCTAATTGATGTGGATCCTTTTTTCTGCCTAAAACACAGCCACTTCGCTAATCTCTGTACAGAGCCCTGTGTTGTTAGTAAACACAGGGCTCTCTATTGTGATTTGGTATGCCGATCAGCTGACTGACTTGTGCTTTACCGAATAACAGCACAGATCAGGCCGCGGCGCCTGTTGTCGGTCCTCATTGGCTGCCTGTGTCTTAGCAACCTAGGAGGCAGGAAAAGCCTGTGTCCTACTAAACTAGGAAGCAGGAGCCGCCTGTGTCCTAGCAACCAGGTCACTAGGCAACAAGAGCCCCTTGTGTTCCTGCAACCAAAGGGTAAAACCATAGAGTGTAATGCTACTGATTATACATTGCTGATATTTGTTGGTACCTAGCAGCTTCAGTGGGCATTAGGGTCCTCCGTCATTCAGAGTGGGGGTACTTTAATACAGGAGGTGTGTTACTAGCCAGATCACCAGCTAAATAGCACTTCTGCCTGGCAGTACTAGGGTCGTTGGTTCGAATCCCAACCGCAGCACCACCTGCCTGGAGTTTCTATGTGCTCCCTGTGCCTGTGTGGGTTTCCTCCGGGTACTCCGGTTTCCTCCCACACTCCAAACACATGCTGGTAGGTTAATTGGCTCCTGTCTGAATTGGCCCTAATATGTGTATGTATGAGAGTTTGGGCCCTTAGATTGTACGCCCCTTGAGGGTTAGGGACTGATGTGAATGTACTATATGTAAAGCGCTGTGTACATTGACAGCACTATATAAATACCTGAAATAAGAGAAAAAACTCTAAATAAAAAGAAAATGAATGCAGCCACCACATCTACGGATTGGTAAGCTGCAATATATTATATAGTGTTGATTTTGGGTTTATTATCACTTTAAATTTCCTGCTGCCTTGTGTTCACAGAACCTCTTTATTAACTGCGACCAGAGCCAAAGATTGCAATGCGCATGCTCTGTCTAAGGGCTATCGCGCACGCGTCTTCCACATGGTGCTGCATGGAGCTCTTTGAAGTAGCTGGAGAAAGAGAAGGGTGGGGCTTACTGTATCAGCACCTTCTCCTCTTACGCCCGGACCCTCCCAGTCCCCCTCTCCAGATCATGTGACGAAGCTCCATAGGCTTCCCGCTGCCCGGCTCGGCTCTGGCGGGGCGTTTGAAGACCGGAAGTGACGCCATGTGTGTATAGGGAGACAGACGGTGTACTGGTTGATGAGGAGGGCTGGCAGCAGGTATTGTAGGCTTTGTATGTACTGCTTCATTTATGTGTTACGCCTTCTCTCTGGGGAACCACAAGTGCCAGCGTGCTTGAGAGTCTCATGAGTGGCAGGGGGTGTGTTGTGGTGCAAGCAAGCAGCAAATGTGTGTGGGGGTGCAGGGAAGGGACACCATGGCTCTTATGAGGGTGCCAGTGATTGGCTGGAAAAATCCGACGTGAAGGGTGAGATGATTTCATGTCTGCTGAAGTGAGAAATGTTTCCAAGAGATTTCCCCTCACTTCCTGTCCTACCACCCCCCCCCCCCCATTCTTCACCAGACAGTGACAACAGCCCCCCCTTTCTAATAGCACTTTCCTTTGCTGGAATAGGGGGGGGGTGGCAGCTCTGGCAGATTTTTGTTCCTGTGTCCCTGGTGCAGATTTCACCCTCGCTTCCTGTCTGCTGAAACTGTCATGATAGGAAGATTATAATATAAATGTGCCATCATGGTCCCCCAGAAAGAACACCCCCCACCTTATTTATTTCAGGTACTTATATAGTGCTGTCAATTTACACAGCACTTTACATATATATTTTACATTCATATCAGTCCCTAACCCTCAAGGGGTGCACAATCTAAGGTCCCTAACTTACATTCATACATACACATACTAGGGCCAATTTAGACAGGATCCAATTAACCTACCAGCATGTCTTTGGAGTGTGGGAGGAAACTGGAGTACCTGATGAAAACCCACGCAGGCACAGGGAGAACATGCAAACATCAGACAGGCGGTGCCCTGGTTGGGATTCGAACCAACGACCCTAGTACTGCCAGGCAGAAGTGCTAACCATTTAGCCACTGTGCTGCCCCAATACATCCATTAATACCTTGAGGGCAGACAGGAGCGGGAGGCAGGAGCTTGCTGGGATCCTTTCTGAAGGGGGCGGGGTGTGCGCTTGTGGACAGGCAGGGAGCGAGGGCTGGACAGACAGCAAGGGGCAGGGCACATGCGTGATGTCATCCGTTGCAGGGACAACCTCCCTGCTAAGCGGAGCCATCATTATAGGCTGGCGGTCCGGGTGCGCTGCTCAGGCGTTCTCGGACCGCGGTCCGACATTTAGTGACCACTGGCCTAGGTGATCGCAGCGGAAGTGGGATCGTGTAGCTGTCAATTTCGGTTTACTGCCTTCATTCCACCCCCCACTCCCCAAAGGTGCCAATCCTTAATGGGGAGCAGGGGGGGAGCAGTAATATGACGGATGCAAGGTTGTTCTCTCATTCTGGGAGGATGTCATATGACGTCCTCCCATTCTAACCGCGCATATGTGGCTCCCGGAGCGCACCGCGTTGTGCTGTGTCCATCGGACGCAGCGGATCACCGATCAACGGAAAGAGCAGACGATGTTGGTTCGGTCATGTGATCAGCTGTGTCCAATCACAGCTGATCACAAGTAAACGGGGAAATGCTGGTTATCGGTATTTCTCTCCCCACGAGCTGTCACACTGACGGTTCGTGAGAAGAGGAGAGCCGGTAATCGGCATCCCTCAGAGGGGACATGTACACAGATCATCAGAGCACTGATGATCAGTGTGCCCTGATGATCTTTGTAGCCCCAGCAGCGCCACCTGTCAGTGTCAGCTCTCAGTGCTCATCCATGCCACCTGCCAGTGCCACATATCAGTGCCCATCTGAGCTGCCTTTCAGTGTCACCCATCAGTGCCAGTCAGTGCCGCCTATCAGTGCCATATATGAGTACTGCCTTTCAGTTCCCATCAGTGATGCCTGTCAGTGCCCATCAGTGCAGCCTCATTAGCGCACATCATTGAAGGAGAAAAATCACTTATTTACAAACTTTTATAACAAAAACTAAGTAAAAACTTTTTTTTTCAAACTTTTCAGTGGTTTTTGGTTTGTTTAAGAAAAAATAAAAAACCCAGAGGTGATTAAATGCCACTAAATAAAGCTCTATCTGTCACAAAAAAATGATAAAAATGTCATATGGGTACAGTGTTGTTTGAATGCGCAATTGTCATTCAAAGTGCAACTGTGCTGAAAGCTGGAAATTGACCTGGGCAGGAAGGGGGTATAAGTGCCCTGTAGGCAAGTGATTAAAGAAGAACTCAGGACTTCCCCTTTTCCCGCTTTAACTACCTTCATTCTGGGCCATTTCTGGCACTTCTTGTTAACATGTAACAATCAGTTTTATTTGCTAGATAATTACGTAGAACCCCCAAACATATTTTTTTTTTTTTAAAGCAGAGACCCTAGAGAATAAATTGGTGGGTTTTGAAATGTTACACTTTTTTTTTAATAATATTGCAAAAAAGGACAATACATAACTTTTTTTTTTTTTTTTTTTTTTTAAATATAAAAGATGATGTTACAGTAAATAGATACCAAACATGTCACGCTTTGCAGTTGTGCAATGGCAACAAACAACATAAATTTTACTATCCATAAGCCTGTACAGAAGAGGTCTGGGGCTAGAATTACTGTCCATGATCTGATGTTCACGGTGATACCGCACATGTTTGGGTCTATCGCTGTTTGCGTGCGCGCAGGACCGCTGCGTGCATTCACCGTTGAGTGCGAACACAGGAAGATGGGGGCACTTTAATTCTTTCTTTTAATGTATTAATCCAATTTTTTTTATTTTTACACTGGTTCTTTTTTTATCACTGTTATTGCTATCACAAGGCATGTAAATCTCCTTTTGACAGCAATAGGCAGCTGACAGGCAGCCCTTAGGGAGAAATCTGGGGTCTATGAGACCCCAATCCCTTCTCTGCACTTTAAAAGCATTCAAAAACATAAAGGTCGGTGAATGCTTTTATTTCTTAAAAATGGTGTTTACTTCCGAGTAAAGTGATATCGGGTCATTGTTTCCGGTTTACTATAACGGAAAGCCGATCCCACTGGCTGGTGTCTCGGGTCTTCCAGTGGGATGGGTGAGCCCGAGAGAGTGGTGGGAGGGGGGGAATCCCCTCCCTCTGCTTGTAATAGCAACCTAGCAGCTGGAAAGTCGCTTCGATGCTATTACACGAGAGCTGACCGCCGGCTCTAAAAACGGTGCTCGGTCTAAATATCGAAAGTCCAGCGATTTACCAGGAATGATAGACGTAACTCGGTATCCTCAAAATATCTACAAACCCAGTGAAAAATCACTAAAGAAAAGTCCCACTTTCACCCTTGAAAGTATAAAGTATTTGCAAAAAAAACAACTTTTAGTGTCCATATGATGATAATAAAATTAAAAATCCATAAATCTTTTCTTCAAATGTAAACTTGCCATGTGAATCCAATAAGTGCCGTGTACCTCCAAAATGAAAAGAAAACTCAATAGTGCATTATCTTTACAAAAATATTCAAATAACCCAAAAATTAATTATGCCAAACAAAATGTATATAAATTTCATGCAAACCACAAAATTTGTGACAAATCGTGGAAACACGTGATCGGGAATCACTTTTCTATATAATAGTGAACACTCCGTGATCTATTTTCACCAAGCTGCTTGGCAATGGCCCTGTAGCCCTTTCCAGCCTTGTGGAGATCCACAATTTTGTCTCTGGTGTCTTTTGACAGCTCTTTGGTCTTGCCCATGGTAGTAGTTGGTGTCTGACTGACTGTGGGGTGGACAGGTGTCTTTAAAGAGCTCAGACAGGTGCTACTAAGTTAGATTAATGAGTGGAGTAGAGGTGGACTTTTTAAAGGCACAGTAACAGGTCTTTGAGAGCCAGAATTCTTGCTGTTTCTTAGGTGTTCAAATACAATGTGACAAGACAAATAAATACAGTGTGAATTTCAGACCCCTCCATGATTTCTAAGTGGGAGAACTTGCAAAATTACAGGGTGTTCAAATACTTCTGTTCCTCACTGTATGTAATATATAGATATAAACGAGTATGTATATCACTAACTACAAATAAAAGGGATCTGCTAAACATCATCTTAACAGTTAATACTACATAAAATCTTTATTACATATAAAACTACTTTTCAAGCTAAATTGTTAAATGAAAATTATTAATTAAATACTTGTATTAAATTAAAATGTCTAGAATTCTGCTATCTAGTGGACGAAGAGGAGATACCTATTATTATTTTAAACATTACCAAAGTTACTTTTAAAATCAATAATACCTCATAAAAATTATTATAAAAACATTTCTATATTTCATATTTAAATAGCAGAAGTTATTTAGTTTAAAATGTATTTAAAAGATTTTAAAATGTTAAAATTTGATTTTAAATTGTACAAAATCTGTATTGCTCAGCTTTATCCTGTAGGATATTATACATATTGATCTCTCATATTAAAAATTAGAAATAAAACCATTTAAATCCAGATCAATATTAAGGCCCTTTGGTTTCCGTGTCTCTAATTGCACTTCCGCCTGGCAGTACTAGGGTTGTTGGTTTCGAATCTCAGCCACAGCACCTCCTGCCTGGAGTTTGCATGTTCTCCCTGTGCCTGCGTGGGTTTCCTCCGGGTACTCCAGTTCCTCCCACACTCCAAAGACATGCTGGTAGGTGAATTGGATCCTGTCTAAATTGTCCCTAGTATGTGTGAATGTAAGCTAGGGACCTTAGATTGTACACCCATTGAGGACTGATGTGAATGTATATTATATATGTGCAAAGCGCTACGTAAATTGACGGTGCTGTACAAGCACCTGAAATAAAAATAAATAATTGAAAAATCCAAAGGGTCTCATTTTGGGAGATGGCTTGAACTTTATTGCCACCTCTCCAATGTGGTTCAGTTTTGTCTATACCACAAAATTTAAGTAGTCTCGGATCACAATCATGAAAATCCCTAAAATGTCTGGACAAGCAGTGGTCTTTTTTGCCTTTTTTAATATTAGCCACATGGTCCCTTAATCTCTTATACAGGGGTCTTGTGGTTCTTCCTACATATTGAAGCCGGCATGGGCACTCCAGCAGATATGTTAAATAAGGAGTCGAACAAGTAATAATTTTTTTTATATTGTATATTTTCCCCGTAGTATGGGAAGTGAATTCTTGAACTACTCTTTTATTTATACCAGTAACTTTACAGATATTACACTTCTTGCACGGGGAAATTCCTTTTGGATTTTTGGGAGGAGAGATTACACTTTTTACTAATGAATTCCTAAAAGTTGTCTTTCTATAGATAAATGAAGGTTTATCAGGTATTATAGATCCCAGGATTCTATCTTTCTTTACAATTGGCCAATATTTCTTAAAAATGGACTCAATATCTTTATATTGACAACTAAATCTAGAGAAGAAGGCATAATCAACTTTATTTCCTTTATCTTCTTTTTGATATTTTTTAATTTTTCCTTCCCCTAAGTAATTTTGACTAATTTTGAATCTCACCTTTTCAAGTAACTCAGGGTCATATCCTTTCTGTATGAACCTCAACAGTGAGGAAGAGAGGGTGGCTTTAATGACTTGTGATTGCACAATATAGTCGCTTAATCTTGAGCAATTCCTCATGATCCTGGTAAATTGGCCCTTGAGTATACCCTTAATCCATTGAGGGTGATGACACCTACAAGTTGGTATATAACCATTTCTGTCAGTGTCTTTAAAATAGGTTTTTGTATATAATTTATCTTTATCCTTTAAAATATTCAAATCTAAAAAATCAACTGATGTATCTATATTATACATAAAACCCAACTCATTCATTTTTCTCAATATGTTCTAAAAATACTTTTAAAGAATCCAAAGGGCCCTCCCATATCATTATAATATCGTCAATATACCTTCTCCAAAGTTTTAACTCTATCCACTCTCTTCCAAATATTTCAGTATCTTCCCATCATGTTTTTGCTGGGATATAGCAAATTCACGTCTATAGTTACCAGTAGGGCCTCTGACATAACCACCATATTCTCTACAATATCAATCACATCTTGTCCGTCTTTTTTTTTTTTTTTTCTTTAGTTTTTGCAAATGATGTACCAGGAATGCCGCTGGCTACAGCTGGCAGCACTGATGATTGTGTTCTGATGGCAGGGAAGTTTGAACAATGTTCTTTGTTAATGAAACGTGTTGGGTGGGGCTTAATCAGTGATGTCTTTATGCCCGCCGACTGCCAGAATTGCGGCATTTCTTGCTTGCCTCTGTACCAACATTGCAAGTATGTGTCTGCTACTCAATAAAATTTGTATGACTGTTTTTTTTCAGTGCTTCTTCTGCAGAAAAGGAATCCTGCCTGCTCAAAGGGGTTTTTTTTTACCCAAACTGCATGGTGCAAGATCTGGTGCAGCTCTACATAGAGACCAATCCGCTTCCAGGTTTTATTGTCAAAGCTTAATTACTGAAGTTAGAAGCTGATTGGCTACCATGCACGGCTGCACCAGATTCTGTGTGCTCCAGTTTTAGTAAATCTCCCCACAGTCTTCTGTAGAATGTACAAGTGCAGCTCAGCTTACTTTCTGGTACAGTGCCTGTGTGCTGGAAAGACTGCACTCCTTGCCCCATGCTAACCAATGAAAAAGCCAGGGAGAAGATGCACCCGCAAGGGAGGTAAGTATCATGGAGTTTATCTTTGATTTAAGTGTAGAGCATTTAGGGGGTGGTAAAAACATGGTTCCGCTGCGTATTTTACCCCCACCCTCCCTTTTGCTTCCCCATACTGCAAGTCTAAACGAACCCTAATTGAGCCCTGGATAGAAGTAAAGACGTGACAGCAGTAGCAGTCCTCTTCAGGGCCGGACAACACACTGTCATGCTACCCATTTCCTGGGAACCCAGCTTGTTGTTTACATGCCTTCCACCAGGGGTTGCTTCGGCACACAGGCTGGACTCACAGTTCTCCAGGACCG